TTCTTGCATGGTGAGTGGAATGATAAGAGTATAGCATTGTTATTTTTATTCTATTATTATTATTATTTTATTAGTATATTTTATATTTTTTTACGTTAAATATTATTATCGACTATTACTTTTTGTTTGTTTTATTTATTTTATTACGTTATATTATTTATTTTTATCTTTATATTTAAATTTTTATCAATTATATTTGAACATTTTTCTAAGCTATATACCAAATTAACATGGCATACCAATCAATTCTCTTGAAAAAAATCTTGAGAGAGCTAAAACTTGCCTCTTTTGATGAAAACCCAATACGACCAGTAGAAGTACTTATGCTTATTAATGTCCCTTGAACTAAATGTTTTTCAAAAACCCATCAACTATATACTCAAGCAAAGCATAGTAAAAAAATTAAAATGCTTGCTTATAGCTATTATCTAGGTGCATTAATAATGGCTTGTCCAAAAAATAAAGAGGAACAAATTAATCCTAAAAATAAAACCATGTAGATTAGAATATACCATCTTTTTAAACTGTTGGGTACTATAATATTTATAGAACAAAAAAATTAAAGCCTAAACACATATATTATTTAGATGAAGAATATTTTAAAAAATTGTTAAAATATTTTTATTAACATTCTTGCTTGTAATGTTCTTATTTTATTTTATTTTTTTAAATTTTTAGTTTCTTTTCTTTTTAAATAGATCTAGTATAATATAGTGTCTAGGACAGTTTAGAGCGATAGTTGAAGCTCTATTCAATTTTTATATATATCTTTTTATCTTTTATAAACTAGTAAAAAAAAAAAAAAAAAAAAAAATTATATATATATATATATATATGAAAGATGATTATATATAGTTTTAGCAAGAAATTTTTACAAATATCATGAAGTAGAAGAAATAATATTTTAATACTATTTGAACAATATACTTTATATCTAGGGAATATGAGCCCTATTGACAACCTCACTATTCAAAATTGGATAAAGTTGGATATAAAATATTCATATTTAGGGAATATGAGCCCTATTGACAACTTTACTATTCAAGTTTGAATAAAGTTAGATATAAAAAAATATTATTACTTTCATATTTAGGAAACATAAGCTCTATAGACAACCTCGCTATTCAAGTTTGGATAAAGTTAAATATAAAAGAAAGAAATTAAACACAGAATATTATATTATTTGACAATTAATTTATTTACAAAATTTTAGAAAATTTTATTATTGAATTTAAAGTTTTATTTACAAAAAATTATCACACAATTGTACTATTTGATCTCTCCTCTGCATC